CCTTTAGGCTGAGTTCGGTTTGATTGGTTTGAGTTGGGTTGGGTCAGGTTGGGTTCAGTTAGGTTTGGTTTGGTTTGATTGGGTTGAGTTGGATTGTATTGTGTGGTGTTGTGTTGGGTTAGGTCAGGTTGGGTTTGGGGAGGAGGAAGCAAAGGCTTTCCAGACAGCACCTATGTACAGCCAGCAGTTGGGCACCAGAGCCAGGCTCTTCTTGATAGCCACATCCTGTGCAGTGTCCAGAGGGGCTCCAGGGCAATTTCATCCTCTCTGAAATTATCTGCAGCCTTCCTCCACTGACCCTACCCATCACCCTCCCTCTGGCCCTGCTCTGCTCTTTGGTCCAAGTCAGCCCAGCTTGGTGGGTGTAGTGCAGGGCAACATGGTGAAGTCTGGAGAAAGTCATTCTGCTGGGAACTTGGCTATAAAGGTTGCCATGGCAACCTAGGTAGCTGAACTTGGGGTGAGTGTGGGGAATGTTTGTGTATGCACATGAGTGTGGATAGCCCAGAGGAAAGCAATGCCCTTCCATACAGACCCAGCCCTGTCCCACAGGCTGCCTCCCTCATTTCCCTGAGTGCACATGTGTTCCACTGCAATCTCAGATGGCAGGAAGCCAGGCCTCTCACACTGTGGAGTCAGCTCTGTTTTAGTGGAAGTCTCCCCTCCTCAGAGTGCATTTCTACCATGTTTCCCCGGGCACAGTTTCCTCGTGGTGTCTCTAGCCACTGGGCTTGCAAGGACTAGCGGGAAAGGGACGCCACGCCCTTCTGCTTGGAAATACAGTGGCCAACGGGTGACAGACAGCCTACAACTGTTTATTTGGAGTGAATTTAATGCACTGGAATCTTTTTGAAAATTAAGTCTAGGATTTCTGCAAGCTGCTCCCTGATTCATGTGGTTTACTTGGGATCTTGTCACTACAGTGTTAATAAGATTTTTTTTTTCATCTTTGATACAATTAAAGAATTGTGTGTATTTTGCATAGCTTTACTTAATTTTTCTTTTGCAGGTGCCAGGGCTCAAACTCAAGGTCTTGCAAAAGTTGGGCAAGGCCTCTGTCGTGGAGTTAAACCTCTCGCTGTAAAAATATACATTCTCAAGGACAAAAAATCTAAATCATGTGCAAAAATATAGACATGCTAGATACTACTAGAGACTATATAGTGGGACCTCTGTCTCCAAAACAAACAGAAACAGAACAGTGTAACGAGTACTGTGGCAAAAGTCAGGCAACAATGAAAATTTTAAAGGGTTCAGATAAGCCCATGCCTGGAAATGGTGAGTGAGGGAGGACCTGACCACGGTGGGAGGATGGTGGGCCCAGGTTGGCAGAGGAAGGGGCCAATCCGGTCCGGTCCCAGGAGTCTATGTAGAGCTGCGAGCCCCAGAACCTCAAGAAATGAGCCCAAAAGAGGTTATGGGACAGAGGACCTGTGTGGCTGGGACACAACCTCCCAATCAGATGGACTCTCCCATTCCCATGGGCCCTGATGCTCCCACACCCCAACCAGGACACTGCCCACATGGCTTACTTCTTATCACGTCCATTCCCTCCAGCGTTCCCCATCTCTGCCTAAAGCCCCCCCAGAGCTGGGAGCCAGCCATGCCCAGAGGGGCCACAGTCAGTATCTGCTGGATGATGCAGACACAAGTGGGACGTGGGTGGTCCGGATGAAGGACAGTTTGACAAAACATTTTTCAACTTCCCCTAGTATAAGAGGACACCCACCCATCCACTCTGAACTCTGAACTCTGTGAGATGCTCACACCACAGGCCTGTGCGGGCATGGCTGTGGCAGGCTAGGCTGAGCTGGGGTGTCTTGTGGGTTCCCAGCAGGTGACTCCAACATGCCCTTCAGGGGCTCACAGGATTCCTGAGGGATCAGTCTCCAGTACCCCTGGGGCCAGTGGCCAACATGCACTTTTGATTGGCTCCTTCCTGGAGCCACTTCCGGTCACCTCTGGGGTTTCCTAGGATCACCTCCCCTGTCTTCCCATCTGCTTTGGGAGAACTAGAAGTCTCAGGACCCCTCCATCTCAGAGTGCCCTTTGCTAAGTTCACATGGATGTCACAGGGGCCAGGGCCTGTGAGACCGGGGAGAGGCTGAGAGCCTCGAAGTCTCAAATATAGCACATACCCACAGAAGGAACTGCAGGGCTCCCGTCATGCCTGTGTCACAGGTCACCAGCCCCTGCTTTCTTTGAGACCCCAAAATGAGGGGTCTTCACACATGTTTTTCGGGGCCTCTCCTTTCCGCCTAGGGGGAGCTTCTTCCTGTACCTTCCCAGGAGAGAAGGGAGGGAGCCTAAGGGGCGAACTGATGATGGCCATGAGGACGTGGCCTTCCCCTGAGCAGGCCCCAGCCCTGAACAAGAAGGGGTGCCCCGGAAGGCCCTGGGGAAGACGTGCCCCGAAGGCCCTGCTTCTCCAACCCACACCCGTCTTTTCCTGTCTTTATCTGGCTCCTTCCTGACCGCTTGGACCCTTGAGTGATGATCAGTGGGATGAGTCCAGGGGCAATGGAAGCTTTGAGCTGGATGAACAGGGCAGGAAATGGGACATTCATGTCCCTCAAGCGAAGCCAGGAGTGTCTGGTTTAGAATAATGACCCAGTTCTTTGCAAAGCAGAGCTCTTATTTGTCAGAGAAGCAGGAGGCACAAGGCCTGTGTGGTCTGGGTTCTGCTGCATGGCCTCACAGATACTCAGTCCAGAAGAGCCCTGGGGACAAGGCCTGGGGACAAGCCACCTGCCAGCAGGGAGGACACTCCAGGTGCACAGGCTGCCAGGGCAGGAACCCAGCCACCCGCCAGCCAGGCCACACCCTGGAGGCGGAGCCCACTGGGTCCCCACCTGTTGCAACCCCTCAGCTGGGCAGCACCTGCTGGCCCTGGGTAGTAGAGCCCAGGCCACAGGTTTGAAAGACTCAGCCAGCAGCTGCCTGGCACACAGGATGCCCTGGGCAGAGCTCTGCCCTCAGAGGAGCAGACACTGTCACCGCTTAGTGTCTAATCATAGCACTGCACTCTTCGAGCACCAGCGTCACCGCTGCTGCTTATGACAGATCCACTGCCACAGCAGCCTGACTCTCCCCTTCGCCTGTGTCTCACCGCTTGCGGAGTGACTTTCTGGCCAGCCTGGGACTTGGGCCAGCCTGCGACACCATTCTGGTTGTGGGTGTAGAAAGGATGGAGCTGGTGCTGGGCATGCTTTTCCAACTTAGAAACCCACCCAGCTGCCACTGTGATGCAGTCTCCGGTCTCCCAGGAGGCTGAGAGGTGATGGGCGTCCCAGGGCTGCAGACCCATGGTGCCCAGGCTCAGGGCGGGAGCTGCCCACCAGCCCCAACTCCTGGCCTGGGGTACAGGTCCTGAATGATGGCCTGGAGTGCCCAAAGTTTGTCTGCCCTCAGTGCAGCGGATGGAACCCAGGCTAGGCAGGCCCTCACCATGGCAGCTGCTCCCCATTTGTGGTGGGATAACCTTGGTCATTGCTAATGGCGAGCTATTTGTTGTCACTGTTACTACTGTGCAGCAGTTGACGGGAAAAGCAGAGCAACTCTTGTGCTTCAGACACTCAGAGTCACGGCAAAGAACTGGTCACCGAGAGGGAGGGGGCTGGGTGGACAGGAGGGGTGCTCAGGTTTACATCCAGGTGTCCCCCTAGAGCCTCATGAGCTCACAGGTGGGTAATTGGGAGGTGACTGGATTAACGCACTGGTGTGTTATCGCGAAATGTGAGGGCGGAAGGTGACACTAGCGGGAACACACTGTCACGAGGTCAGTCTGGAAGGAGCCAACTCCTGCTTCCTCCCTCCGTCCCTCTCTGCTTCCTGCAACCTTGCCGTGGGCAGCTCCATTCTGCCTTGCCGCCCTGCCTTGGAACCAGCTGACTACAGAATGAAACTTCTCAACCTGTGAGCCAAAGTAGACCTCTCCTCCTTTACCTTGTGGGTACTGAGTGTTATGTCTCAGTGACAAGAAAGTGACTAAGACAAGGGGGAAACAGCACCTCCCACCTTGACTTTGTGTCTCTCCACGTGACTGAGAGTCTAAATTTTTGCTTGTCTGCACATCTCAAAAAAAAAAAAAGAATCTTGAGAAGGCTGGAATGCAGCTCAGTGGTAGAGTGCTTGCCTAGCATGCACAAGGCCCTGAGTTCAAGTCTCAGTACCACCACAAAAAAAAGTTGTGAGCCAAGTGTGGTGACGTACACCTGTAATCCTGGCACTTGGGAGGCTGAGGCAGGAGGATTGCTACAAGTTCAAGCCAATTTGAACTACTTAGTAAGACCCTGTCTCAAAACAAGAAAGAAAGAAACAAAAAAAGAAATAAAGAAGGAAAGAATTTTGAAAAACAAGGCACAACACCATCCCATCTTAAATTCACTGCTAAATAATTTCATCATAAGTGATTGTAAAGAATGTAATTTTCATTTCACTGTAAATATTGACAGTTAAACATGAAACTATCAGTCTTCAATAAAATATTAAAAAGAATTTGGAGCTTATAATAATTTCATGCCCATCACTATCTGATTTAAAATACATGAATACACTGTTTTAATATGGAGAAATTTTACATCTTTCCTTGAATTCATGTTTCTTTTCTATTCCCTCCACAACTATCTCATATAATTTAATAGACTTTTAAAATTGGAAAGTATTTTATTGATCACTTATCATACACCAAAATATATTAAATATATGGTTTAATGGATTAAAATGTGCCTTATTATTTTTTTGGGGGGAGGGGCACCAGGGTTTGAACTCATGAGCTCACACTTACCAGGCAGGCACTTATACCACAGAGCTAAGTCCTCGGGCAAAATGTGCCTTATTCTTATGACTCAAGGTTCTCCTTGCTTGAAAACATTTCTTCTGGATTAAACTATATGAACTGATTAAAACCACGTAATAATGCTACCAATTTTTGGTAACTTTTAAGCATAAAGTCTTAAGTATAATCGGAAATGTATCTCTTAATGAGATGTAACATGATCTAACTTTTAAATATGCATTTAATGAAGGAAAGGTATTTGCTAAAAAGGAAAGCACTTAGTCCTGAAGCTAGAATATTATTCTTGTCGATTAGAAGAAAATATGAAGGATTTTATGTGGTAAAATAAAATAAGCATCCACTATCATTAGATTATTTCATGATATGATTTCATAAATGGATGTTAAAGTGGTTTCTTACATGCATCTAAATAAGTCGCCTGAGGTTGGAAACTGTGGGTTTTACTTGTCGTCTGGAGGCTGGGGCAAGTCCCACACACCTGGCATGGGTTTAAGCAACGTGGCAGCACCGATTTCTAAGTCTGGGTGGCATGTCCATCACCTGGGGTGGTGCTGAGCGGGGCTGGATGTGGCTCTCGTTGTGAGTGCCCCCTTTCCCCCCAGCAGTCGGTGTTCCTGCAGACGCTGTCTTGGCTGACGCTGGGCAGTCTACCTTAAGGCTCTCCTGGCCGCCCTCTTCCCCCGGACATGAAGCGGGTGCTGCACAGAGACACGAGAACCCGTGGAGCGTGGAGTCTTAGTTAAGCACTGAGGGACTAGGCCTGTGTCTCCTCTCTCAGGTGCCACCTCCTGGGGGGCACCACAGGCAGACGCGCAGTGCATGCCCCCTCCAGACAATGAAACCAGACACCAGTCGCCAGCTCAGTGGTGTCCTCAGACGAATCAGGTCGGAAACAGAAGGTTTGCAAATTAAAGATCTGGTGATGAGTTTCTTTCAAACTGTGTGGTCAGAGCCATTCAGAAGCCTTGAGGTTCTTTACGTGGTGTGTGCGTGTGTGTGCATACATGCACACGTGTGTGCATGTGGGTGTGGTCCTGAACCCAGGGGACTTGCACTGGGCTACACCTCCAGCCTTTTTAAATTTTTTTGTTTTGATCCGGGGTCTTGTTGAGTCACTCCGTTGTCCAGGATGCACTCCAACTTGCGGTTCTCCTGCCGCAGCCTCCCTCCCAGAGCATTAGGACTACTGGCGTGTACCACTGTGCCCATTTTAGGTGCTTTACTTTGAGTTTGTGTTGTCACATCTGACCCCGCCACATGTCTCTGAGGAGGAGGGTGAGGGCTCACACTTGTGACAGTGAGCAGGCCGAGCTTGGAAACCCTGCACCACGGTTCCAGCACCATGAGACATCGGCCAAGGGTGAGATGATACTGAGGGAGGGAGGGAGACAGAGAGACAGAGACAGAAAGAGGGAGCAATAGAGAAAAAGGAGGAGAAGAGGAAGAAAGACAGAAAGGAAAGAAATAAATTATGTAACTCTCGTTAGCTGTGGATTAGTATCTTAAGGAAAAAAGAAACAAATGTAAATAAAAATATTTAGTAGAAAACATATAACATGAAATTTAAATGAAAAATAAAGCATGAATTCATAAAGCACAAATGCACTCATCTGCAGACACCCACTGCCCGCCCTGGCCTTCGGAAGGAGGAGGAAGCACTGACAGCCAAGCGTTGGTGACAGGTGGTGACAACAACCAGGGTCCCCTGGGCGCCAGGCGGCACCCAGAGCCCCTGTCCTGGCAGCGAGTGCTTAGTTCTGGGGCCTCAGCTGGCAAGAGTGAGGTGGCAGCAGGCGACATGCGGGCCTCCGGGCTGGGTCCCTAGGGTTGTGTCTCCATGTAGAGCAGGGTTACGTCCCTCTGCATCAGGGTTGGGACCGTGCTGGGCTCGGGCCGGAGCCCTGGCGGGGCAGAAGACGTGCGTGCGTGAACCCTCGTCACAGCCCTGTCCTCAGGGGAGCTGTGGGGTGGAGCCTCTTCACTCAGCAGATGAGAAGACAGGGGGTGAGGCACCCTGCGCAGGTGGGGAGCTATGGAGAGGTCACGTGGGGTCACAGCCACCAGCCTGGAGGCCAGAGTGCACTGGACACGCGGCAGGTGTGACAGGAGTGCAAGCTCTACACCAATTTCACGCGACAGCAGCATAAACTGACCGTGGGAGGCAGGCCGAATAACTTACATGGCCACACCTTTATCAGATGTTATGTATTTTAAGGTTAGTTATTAAAATTTGTTTCACGTAAATGTTTTTAACGTCACCACTAGAAGGTTTGAAATCATATACCACGCTTGTGTCACACATCCATGGAACAGCACTGAGCAGACACAACAGCAGCACTCATCCTGATGTGTCTGGGCTACTCCACCAGGGCTCTGAGGTGCTCAGCCTAACCCTCACCACAACCACTACACTCTGGCCCTACCCACTCCAAGCGCGTACCCCGGATCTGACTCGAAGTCCTTAATGCTAACCCCAACCCCAGCCCTCACCCTCTGTGGGCCCTGGGTCTTTACTGAGAGAGGGGCCAGAGGGAAGCGTGCATCTGAAGGTCACACAGGCCACCTCAGGGGCATGGGTGGTAGGAAGGGTGTGCACTGAGGGTGGTGGCCCCAGTGGCATCTGCCACAGTACAGCCAGCATTACCACACTGTCCCAACTTTGTCCTGAGAAGGATTTTGCATTCAATGAACCGAAGTCACAGGAGAGAGACTACATGCGCGTCACCATCCTCCTGTCTCAAGGGCAAGTGTGTTAGTTTCTCTTCTGAACAGGGAGGGTGTCCAGCATCCCTCCCCGCAGTCACAGACATGCTCTCTCATGCCCCGAGCACCCTGGCTCAGAGGAGCCTCCCAGATGCCTGCTGCTGCCCCGAGTGGCCTGGAGTGGGGTGGGGGAGCCCAGGGTGGGGAGCAATCAGCTGTCTGTCCTTGACTCCAGCCGCCACGCAGGGACACTCCCTGATCACAGCGGACACCCAGACTGACCACAGTGCCACCACCACTCTTCCCTCTCGGGGAGGCAGCTGAGGGCTCCCAGAACGTGTGGAGAGCTTCATGTCCATCATGCAGAAGGCCAGCACTGCCCACGCAATGGCTCTCAGTCACAGTGTGGACACCCTAACAGGCTCCTGGGGTATCTGTGCAGTACACCCCTGAGAAGGGCATCTTCATTCAGCAGGCAAGCAGAGGTCCTTCCAGCTTCCTTGGCTTCCAAAGCCCCACCAAGCCCTACCCAAGGAAGCGTGCTTTTGCCTCAGTTTCCCTTCTGTTATCACTGAAGCAAGTTCCCAAATGCAACCAGCAGCCAACAGGTTCAGCCTAACAATGGTCTACCCCTCATCTTTTCTCAACCAAAGCACCGGCTCGCTGCCAGTGTTACAGGGGGACAGGCCTTCGGTAAGCTTTCCCTTTTCCCTCATGCTTCTTGGTTTATTCAGATGTTCTATGCTTCCTCAACTTAACTTCAGTAAAGCACATTTTCCTAGCATGTTACCATTTCGTCTCAACGTGCAGATATATTTAAGAAGCCCTTGTGTTCCTGTAATTTCCTTCATGTCTGGTCTGATTTCCCTTTAACACCCTCTATCTTGTGTAATTTTGCATTCCTCCATTTTTCCTGAACTGAATCAAGAATGTTTTATCTCTCTTGTCGGCTTTGTCAAAGACTCTGGACATAGATAAATAAAATTTATTTTATCATTTTCTATTTGGCACCTCATTATTCCTCTTCTTTTATAGTATTTGTTCCTCTTTTTTCTTAGGTGTACTGTGTGGTTTTTTCCTAACTTACTGAATTAGAGGCTTGCTCATTCATTTTCACTATCACTTGTTTATCATATTTGAGGAGAGAATTTTACTCTGTGTACCACTTCAGCCGTATCCCACAAATGGCGATATTTTCATTAGCTTTATTCTTAAGGTTTTCTAAAATTTCACTTGGAAAGACAAAGAGGACATCCTCCTTTTTAGGTGCTATCTTGAAATTTCTTTTTCTTAAAGAAAATCACATCATACTTTCCCACCGCTGGAAGCTCCTGAGGTTGGGGCAGACCACGCGTGGGTCAGGGCCACAGGTCACCCCTGAGTCCCTGCCCAGGGTCCCTGCCTGTTCCCAGGGCTGCATGGGGCCTCTTCCTCCTGCACTCCCAGCCCAGTCCCAGCACACTCCCATCACCCTCTGTCACCAGCACAAGGGCAGCTGGGTTCCAGCCCCATCCTGTGCCCGAGGGGAGGTGGGCTCAGAGCATCCAGCCCACACGGGGCTGGCGGAGGACTTCAGCCCAGTGCATCCCAGACACAGCAATGCCTCAGCTCACAGATGCTAGGCAGGGGACCCCTCTCCTGGCTTCGGTGTCCTCCTGGAAGGGGACAGGGAGAAGACTGCATGTGGGCTCCAATCTGCCCTGCCTTGATCCTCAGGTTACACGTGGTGCTGAGGAGTCCCCGCATCACCTCCGTCACCCATTCCTGGTGGTGAATGCCCTGCCGCTGTCCAGCTGCCATGTCTCTCTTCAGTGACACATCCCCTTTGTACATGTAACACACTTGTGCAAGCACACATTCCGCATGTACCCATGTGTCCATACACACACAAAACAGCTCTATCATTGTGAGTGCGTAGAGGAAAGGAAGGAGCAGGAGAAGCGCTCGGGAGGCTGGTGGTTTCCTCTGTGTCCTCTAGAAACCAGAATTGCTCACTAACCTTCTGCTCCCTCCACATCCAGTTTCCGTTCTGGGCAAGCGCAGGCCGCTGCAGAATCCCAGGCTCCATGCCCTGAATCCCGACTCCACTCTGGCCTCCACGTGGTCACCCACTGCAAGCAAGGCCACCGCTCCTGGTCTCACACGCCTGGAGCCTGCTGAGGTGGTACTTCCTGGGGTCTGGGCTCCTCCACTTTCCCTCCTGCTGTGTGTTACCCCCTCACCACATACACATACACACACACACACACGTGTACACACATGTGCACACATACATACCCATGCACACACTCAGAGCTTTCTCATTCTTATAAAAAGGCTCTAATTTTCCTCTCCCTCTGATCCTGTAGTCACAGGATTCCATCTCTTCTGAGTGCTCTGGTCCTCAGTCCCAGCTTTGTACTCAGGGTACCCTGAGCAGCCTCCAAACACACAGTGCCCAGTGCCAGGCTGTGCCAACTTCAAGGGAAGCTCTGCAAGTGTACTTGGGCATCAGTACTGTCAGATGGTGTCCTGGTTCTAAACAGGAAGTATGCAAGGAGCCTCAGATAGGACCGCCCTCCCACACCCCGCAAGTGCCGCGAGGCCCCCGAAAGTGCAGCATAACTGGCATTGTCTTGGCTCCCTCTGTTTTTTGCGGGGGAGGTTGAGACAAGGTCTCTGTGCAGTTCAGGCTGGCCATAAGCTCACTATGTCGCCCACTATGAGTCCTCCTGCCTCAGTCTCCCAAGTGCTAGGATGACAGGCCTGCGCCTCCATACCTGGTCAGCTCCTTCTGCCTGTGTCTCCACGGGCAAACACTTCCCACACAGGGGATGCATCAGGACACAGGACAGGAACATGGAGCCGCCCTGGGCCTCGCTCGGCTCTCGAAGGTAAAAATCACACTGCGAGCTAGCAGGAAGCAGCAGGGGAGGAACAGACAGACACGCTGCTCTGCAGACGCAGCTCCTCCCATCGTGTTGTGTAGATGCAATGCAGTCCCACAAGATTCCCGCCTCTTTTCGGAAATCAGTTCCCTAGGGCTTCTGTAACAAACTGCACAAAGCTGGGGGCTGAAAACAACAGAAGTTCTTCCCTTACGTTTTTCCAGAGCCCAGAGACCCACCTTGGGCCACAGCCAAGCTGTCAGCAGCACCCTCCGTCTCCAGGCCCTTGGTGGCTGCCAGCACCCCTAGGCTTGTGGCCCTGTCGCCCAACCCCCTGGTTCCCAAGGCCACCGTTTCTTCCCTCCCCATACTACTGGCTCCTCTGGGGCAGTGGATCACTCCCACCTGCTGTCTCATGTGAGACTGTGATGAGAGGTGGATCCAACTGGGTAGCCCCAGACAGCCTTTCATCTCAGGAGGTGGGACTCAGTCACGTCTACAAAGACCTTCTTCCCCGGAAGTGACGACACAGTCACCAGTACCCAGGGCTCAGGACACGGATGTGTGAGATTTTGGTGGCAGGGAATGGGAAGGATCAGCCCAGCCTGGAAAGGAAGACCCTGATTCTAAACACAGATGGAAATGTAGTCGACCGAGAATCCTCAAGCCAGTCTGCGGAGCTGGATGACAAATCCTAGCAACGCCAGTCATCGTTGTGAAGCCAAGATGCGGTTCCAGAGCGGAGACCGATGATAGGAGGTGGAAGAGAAGAGAGTGTAGAAATGGTGCACCCATACATGCACACACACTTGCACACCACATGTGCACACACACTCACACCCACACACTCACATTCACACACACCACACCTCCGAATGCAGCCCTGCAGGGGGAGGAGTTAATTTCCAATCCACAATGCTGGACATCTGAATCACCCCCAGACCTAGCACCCGGCCCTCACGAGGAATTCGGGGCGGCTCCTGGGCTGCACGTGGAGGGAAAGGCTGCAGGGGCTGTGCAGGAAATGCGGTGGCTTCTGACTCTGATGGGACGTTTGAGACCCTGGGCAAGCAAAGACTACTTAAAGAAAACAAGTACACGAGTAAAAAGAGAACAACGCACTAACACTCAGAAAGCTATTTTTAAAAACCACAAAATAAAACTAACAAGCGCGTAACTAATTAATGTAGATGCAGAAATTGATACATGGGAAAAGCTGTAATAGTTCTGATTTATAAATAAAGAGATATTTTTAAAACACTGGTAGAGCACAGAAAACACAGTTTCTGCAGAGCAGATGGATGCTGGCGTGTGGCTGGTGGAGGCCTGTGGCTCTGGCGCTTGCCTGTTCCCACGTCCCCTGCTGTCCTCCACCCTCTGCCCGTGGCACAGGACCTCAGGCTGGGGGCGCCCGCCATGCAGAGAGGGGTCTATGCCAGAGCCACAGGCAGACCCAACCTGGACAGGAGTTTCCAGAGGACACTTTCTGAGAAAGCCATGGTGGGCTCAGCACTACAGAGATGAAGCCAGCGCAGTTGCCAGAGAAAGAGCTACGCCTGAATCAAGGAATCCAAGCAGAGCACGAGTGCAAGCTGTGAGTGTTGCCTCATGGCCCAGAAAAAAACTCGATGAGGGAATCTGCATACATCACCCTGGCCAAGCTGACCCCAAGGAATCAGCCTGGAGTGGGACCTGCACAGCCAGGCGCGGTGGCCGTGGGCCGAGGACCAAGCTCTCATGGCAGGGACCGTTGAGATTTCCTCCAGCAAAGCCTGCTACTTGGGGGTGTGCTCAAGAGACAGCACTGCCTCCGTCTGCTCTGTGTTTTCCTCAGTTTACCAGTGCTTGAAGATACCTACTTCTTCATAAATCAAACCTATGGGGGCTGGGGATTTAGCTCAGTGGCATAAGCGCCTGCCTTGCAAGCAGGCAGTTATGAGTTTGATCCCTGGTACCGATAAAAAGGAAAAAGACAAAAATCAATCAATCAATCAAAGCTATGACAGCTTTTTGTGGAAGGTTCTGTTTACAGGGCCAGAGACAAAGGTCAAAGACAGTTCCTGGAGTTTGCCACAAAGCTTCCACTCTCTTGGGGCCAGGGAGAGGAGAAAAGGACCAAAACCTCAGCCCCTGGTTGGCAGGTCAGCTGGATCAGGCTTCCGTCCATGAACAGCCTAAGACTCCCAGATTCCAACTCAGATGATTTAAGCAGCAAAATAACGGGAGGGGGGACAAAATGGGAGAGTGACAGGGACACGTGGACACTGAAGGAGAAACAAGCCACCTAGGACCAGGCCAGGTTGATGGCAGATGGAACCCTAGGCAGAGAGAGCCACGGACAGCCCACATGCAAGGACAGGAAACCTCGTCCCTGGAGGCTACCGGGCGGAGAGTGACACACACACAGATACTGCAGACGAGTGTCTGGGTTCCATGATGCAGCCGGTTGCAGAGCACCCAAATGTCAGGCAAGGCTGACCCTGGCGGGTCCCCCCAGAGAGGTCAGATTCGAAAGCAGCACTCAGGAGTCTCTGCGTTATTTCTCTTAGAATTACTGTGTAGGTTTTGGAATTTTGCTTCGAGTGAGTGTATTTAATAAAAAGATAACGTTCAGTTGGTGAACGCATTAGACAAGACCTTAGAAAGTGAGGAGGACCCCAGTGAGGAAGGTGGTGAAGTTCGGAGGGGGACGTCCCAGCACAATCACCATATCCTTACAGCGTGGACCAACGCTGTGCCCTGCTGTGGGCAGGGCACAGAGTCGGGGTGCAGAGCCGTGCACGGGGTGAGGGTGGGGGAGAGAACTTGAGATGCCCTGCTTCTGCCTGTTTGTTCCCCAAAAGGAGACAGAAGTGAAGTTTAAGCTGCATGCGGGTACTTGCTCAGTCTTTCTGCTACGGTCGTGCATCACACAAGGGCCGCTGCAGAGAGGTGACCCCTGGTGCTGCCCACGTGCGGCCAGCTACGAGTGGAAAGTGCACGTGGGCTGCTTTCTACATCACTCACTTGTCAACAGGCAGGAGATTTAACAAAGCAGCAGCCACTGAAGAGAACTCTAAGTGTGAATGCACAAGAGGCCTGGAAACGGCCTTACAGGGGCCCCTGTCTGGCCTCACTCGACTGCCTCAGGGATGGGGACCATCAGGCACTGGACGTGGGCCCAGTGATACCAAGTTGCTACAGTTTCACTTCATTCCCACAAGCTAGAAATTGTTGTTGCATGCCTGTTGCATGCCAGCACTCAGGAGGCTGAGGCAGGAGGATTGCTGTGGTTCATGATCAACCTGGGATGCATAGTGAGTTCAAGGCCAGCCTGAACTACATAGCAAGACCTTGTATCAAAAGACAGACAGAAAGAAACAGAGAGAGAGAGGAGAGGAGAGGAGAGGAGAGGAGAGGAGAGGAGAGGAGAGGAGAGGAGAGGAGAGGAGAGGAGAGGAAAGGAAAGGTAAACTGTCTGGCTTGGGAAGACTGCAGTCTAAGCCCAGCTACAGCGAGTCCAGGCTCTGCTCGGTCCGGCTCTGCCTTTCCACGATCACTCACTGAACGTGAGTTCTGCACCACGATACATTTGCAAATGGTTTCCCCGAGTGGGCCCTGAGTGGTCACTGCTTTTTATCACCTCTCTTTACCACACAGCGGCGGGACATCTTGGCCTGTGAAGCAGGCTGGCTCTGGAGCTCCATAAGGACTACTGTCCCAGGCTCGAGGCCCCAGCCAAGATTCCAAGTCGGTGGGTGTGGGACAGAGAAAGGAGGTGCCTCCCTGACCAGTTCCAGATGTGTTCGCCTTTATCACCAAGTCCCAGGCTGCTGCAAATGAAGTAGCTTTAAAAGCAGACGCCTGTGACCTGGCAGTTGGCCTGGGTTCATCCTCCAGGTCTCCGAGGGCTGGAATCCAGCAGCAGCTGAGCTGTGAAGCTCAGATCTTGGGTCTGCTCTGAGCTCATTTCCTGCAGGATTCAGGGCCCGTTACATCTTCGTTGGACGCACTCAGACAGGCCCAGACAGGCGTCCCAGGTCCTCACCCCGAGGCCCCTCCAAGAGTACCTCACAAGAGGGAAATTTTCATCTCAAGGCCTTCAAAAGTGATTTCTTTCAAGCTTTAAGTTTGTTCTTTGAAGAAGGGCCCAGCTCAAATAATGTCCTTTTGGATCAACTCCCAGCAGGAAACGCCTTCTCCTAACCCTGGGAGGGGGCTCCTGTCAGAGACACAGACTCTGAGCACTGGAGGGGAGCCCCTTCCTGCCAACCCCAACCTGTTGACCATACCATTCTTTCGTTTATGGAGATTATGCAACGTCCAGCAGCAACAGCTAAATAGACGTTGGGGTGCTATGACAGGAGGGGCTGACACTGCTGGCTGCTGGACTCAGATCGTGGATGGTCCAGGACTGTTATCAGGTTCCTGGGAACCAGAACCGCCTGTCTGTACCCATGCTGTGTGTCTCCCAGAGCACAAGAGGTGGCCACACTTCTGGGTTCCCTGGACCATGTCACCCACTCCCCGTCAGGATCCACATAGGCACTGCCTCCCCTTCCCTCAGGACGTGGCCAGTACCCTTTTTCCCAGGACTCCCCCAGTGGCACCTCTCCTGGGTGCTCCCTCGGAGACCCGCCTAGGGCCTCTGCGACCCCTGCACCGCTCCAGCCCCTTTCCTGATGAGCTGACCCCACGTTCAGGCTACTCGGGATTACTGTGTCTCCTACCCCCAGCTCTGGACCCCCAGGTTTGCACTCGTCACCGTTCCTGATCCTCGAACCTGTGTCTGCAGACAACGGGGCTTGCTAGAGCCCCTGGCCACCTCCGTCCCAGCCTTGTTCCCGTCTGTGCAGGCCTCTCCCACCTGCCTTCCAGCCCGAACTGCTTCCCGCCCACCCTGGCCTGAGCCTGGCGGTGGACACGACATCCTTGTGCGCATCTCTGCCCCCATGGCTCATCCTTCCGAAACGCACTCCCTTCCATAGACAGAGGGTCCCAGAGAAAAGCACACCACCATCTTCCCGCAAGCCCCACCGCTTCCTGGGGCTCCTCGTAGTAAAATTCATA